AATTTATTTAGACAAATCTATCATTCTCAATAAATTAAATCTCGGAAGTTCCCGGTCTATTAGCCTAACACGCTAGGGCCGAATATTTAAAAAACTAAAAATCTGAAGTGTAAAATTAATTAATAATCAATAAATTAATTTTTTTTACATAATAAAAACTTAAATATAATGATTAAAATTAAGTTAACCGGCATCTAAAAATTTTCATTATTTTTTAACTTCCCGGTAAGAAAATCGAAGATTTTCAAAAATCAGGAAGTTATTGGTTTTACCCCGTTTTTCGAAAATCGAGTTTTCATCAGATCTCGACGTTTTGAGGTCCTAGGAAGCTTCCCTGAATGTATTTACGATTATGTCCGTGTGTCTGTATGTAACCCTTTTATAACATTTGAACGGCTTGACCGATTTCATCGCGGTTGGCGCCATTCGAAAGGGTTTGACCAAACTTTGGACCGATTCAGACCAATAGACCAAGATTTTGAAAAATCTTAAAAAAACTACAAAAAAAAATTTTTTGAAATGTGGTTTTTTTGGAATTACTCTTAAATGGCCCCACCGATCAATTCCAAAATCTAATCAGCTCTTGAGATCAAAAAACCACGTCGATCACTGCAAGCCCGGTCAAAATCGGTTGATTCGTTCGTGAAATGTCGTTGTCGAAAGAAAACCGAAAAAAGTGTTTTTTCAGAATTACTTTGAAATTCCTATCTCGATCGATCTAAACTTGAAGATTCTTCATGAGACTTTAAAAACTACGTTGAGTGCGCCGCCAACCGTGTAAAAATCGGTTCATTCATTCAAAAGTTATTGCCGTTTGAAAATTCAAAAAATTGTGTATTCTTAAACTGCTATTAGAGTTTTGAGCTCGAAGAGCTCAAAATAATACAAAAATCATATTTGTGAGCTCGACGAGCTCAAAAACGTAATGTGTAATTTTGAGCGCTTAAGAACAAAATGAGCGGGAAGTTGCAAGGATGGCTTTTAGAGTCAACCGTCGTCCTAACTTTTTTTTTATTGAAAAAATTATTTAAAAAAAAGTAAAAAAAAAAATTTCATTTGTAATAAACTTGAAAAACTTGAAGTGCATTTTTAAAAAAATATTTTTTGTTAAAATTTAATAAAATAAAAAAATTAATAACGCCGGCGAACTTTAGTACAATGAAATTTCAATATAATTTTGGCCAATTTTTTAAATTTTCATAAAAAATCATTTACAACCAAAAAATTTTCACTAATAATTTTTTTTAATTTTTACAGATGACGTTAATAACTAGTTTAAATACAATAATTTATCAGTTAGCATCATACCAGTGAAATCTAGTCTGACGTAAACCTACGACGGGAATAGGAAGTAAAGTTTAAAGGATGAAACAGTAGGTACGGCTTGCGACATCAGTTGTATGTACTTATATTTATTATCGTCTTATTTATAATTTGTAATCTACTGCGCATGGTATTTATGAAGAGTGTATGTGAATTGCTAGAGTCTTAACAGTTTTTGCATTTAAAACATGTAAGTAGACTTCTTTTTTTTTTTTAGTTGAAGGAAATAAATACTCATTTATTTTATTATAAAACTAATTACCAAATTTTTTATAATTTTCAGTAATTATATTTGAAGATCATACAATTAACTATCAGTGTCTGTAATTAAAAAAAAATTAAAAATGAAAAAATGTCAAACGACGATTATTCCAAATCGTGTTACTTATGAGTGGAAGATAACTAACATTGACGCTTACTTAAATGTAACCTGTGTAGAATGTAATAGTTGTAGTTACTTCTTGATTTCTCCAGAATTCTTAATAGGAACTAAACACAAATACATGGGGCAGCTTAAATTAAGTTTTGAATATAGTTTACATAGAATTAACGACATTGTACGTCTAGAACTATTATTATCATCATCGTCTCCAACTGTTATTTCTACACCATCTATAATAAAATATTCAGTTTACATTTTAGACAAAAAAAAAAAAGAAAAACGAATGAGGGAAGATAATCATCAACTCTTGACGTCATCTGAGTTGACAATTCTTCTTTTTTATAGAAATCATCTAGAAGAAATAGTCGATAAATATCGACCCGATAATATTTTAACAGTATGGGTCTTGATTTTACCATTTATGAGCCATTAAATTCTTCAATTGACACTTCATTATGTATTCCATCAAAATGTCCAATGATTGAAGACTACAGAAAACTTCACAAAGATGAAATTACAAGCGATGTTATTATTAATGTACGTGATGAAAAATTCAAAGCTCATAAAGTTTGTCTGATAGCACCAAGTCCTGTTCTCGCAACAATGTTTTCGCATGAAATGATGGAGAAGAAAACAAATAAAATTGATATCATTGATCTTAGCCCAACTACATTTGAAAAAGTTTTAGAATATATTTACACAGACGAAGTTACCGATCTAGATCATCATGCTGAAGATCTACTAGGAGCTGCTGACAAGTACCAAATTCAATCATTGAAGGATGTATGTCAAGAATCGATCTGTAAAACTCTAACCCAAGAAAATGCTTTTAAAATATTAGTCTTAGCTGATCTTCACAACGCTGATCAGTTATTAAAATTTACGACTAATTTTATATCAGTAAATATGAATAACTTTATTGAAAGTCAAGAGTTTTTAGACTTCAAAGAAGAAAATCCTGTTTTAGCATCTGATTTTTTGACACGTTTTGTGGTATCTCTTAATAATTTAATAAGCTAATATGATTGCAGAAGAAAGACCTATACCTGCTTAGATTGCCTGGGACTACCGATTTAATTATACTCCTATCAATAGCTTTTTGCTATAACATTTAAGTTAGCAGTCACTTGATTATTTTTTAGTTATTTTTAACAAATAAATTTGTTCCAAAAAATAATTTTTGAAAAATTGCATTTTTAATTTTTGTAAATTTCTAAATGTCAATTTTTTTTTGCCTAATTTATTAGTTAAAAAAAATTCTTAAAATTATCAAATATCTGCTAAATTAATTTTAATCTTTTTGCTTGAAAAATCAAGATTTATATGATTACTATTACTACTGTTAATTTCAACAATCCATAATAATATTGAATAATTAAAATATTATGTAAAAAAATAAAAATAAAAAGCCCGTACAACAGTCGCTCAGGCGTGGGTTCGAGCCCTGGCAGTCGCAGTTTTTCTGCGATTTCCATGGCTTGCTCCCGTGCCGACTGTACCCTGGCCAGGTTTCTGTGGTTTCCTTGGTCACTGTGGTAAGGGTGGGGCACAGGCAAATGCGGGTACAGACTGTAAGTCGGCCACAGCCGCAGAAAAAAAGGAAAAAATAGTATTGATAAACAGTAAAAGTTCAATAGATTATTATAGAATATATATTCTCACACAATTTCTAATAAAATAAAGAAAAAATAAACTATTGAATGACACTGAAGTTAGCAGACGTCTAAAAATTTTTGATTTTTTTTTTAATTAAATTACAACTAAAAAGATATTTTTAAAAAATTGCGCATATAGTTTTTCAAGTTTTTAACAAGTGATATTTTTTTTTTTATTGTTTAATTGAAATTTTTTGGATAAAAAAATTTTGAAATGTCAGCTAACTTCATTTTCATAAATATTTACTTTATTTTTGTATTTATTAAAAAAAAAAAAAAAAAAAAAAAAAAAAATCCAAACAATAAAAATACCACAATTTATTTTTTTTATCAAGTTTATTTTATAATTGTTAATAATAATTATAAAAATTACAGAGATTTTTATTTATCTTTCCCAACCAATATCAATGAATTTTTCAATAAACGAAAGGCTAAATCTGGGTTTTCATTCTCAAGTTTTAGGTAATCTTGAGTTTCGATTAAATCGTTTATGTTTAAATAGATGAAGTCCATAACACATTTTAGTAAACTTTTGGAATTCAAACGATCAGCTAGTCTGAGTGCTTTGAAAACATTTGTTTCCGATAAAGTTCGTGAAATAGATTCTTCACATAAGTCTTTTAACGTTTGAATTAAATATTTATTCGCTGCTTCCAGTAAATCATAGGCATGAATATCTAAATCTCTAACTTCATCTGTGTAAATGAACTCTAACAATTTTTCGAAATTGTTGGGGGTTATATCTTGTAGTTCTAATTCTTTTATTTCTTTATCCGTCTCCATCAGAAATTTTGAAGTAAAAATTACACTCCTGGCGATTAGAATAGTTTTGTGCGCGCTGAACTTTTGCCCATCTACATTTATTAGAACATCACTTCCAATTTTACTACTGTAAAGGGTCTTGTAATCTTCAGACATTGGACGTTTTGATGGTACAAAGAAATCTTCAGTAGAGTTATTACATGACTCGTAAATTGTTAACTCTAGACCTACGGTTAAACTATTGTTGGGTATATTCTTACTTTCATTCTCTAATAGTTTTTTTTTTGATAATTCAAGAACTGTGCGCTCCACAGAATCAAACAATAAATGGTCTTTCTTCATCATTGTGTGTACTCGATCTGCATCTACTACAAACGCCGAATATTTTATTATTAACGGCGTGAAAATAGTCGGGGATAATGATGAGAACAGGAGATTTACACGTATTTTATCCTTCTCAGCCGATTCCGGGCTGTTTTCAAATACCAATTTGAGTTGTAGAAGTAATTTTTTCTGGTTACCTGCTGAAAACGGCGGAGAACTCAAGTAGCTGTTGAGTCCTGTATTGCTTGCGCGCAAATGCAAGTCCAAGTTACTGATCCGCCATTCATACTTGGTGCAACTCGAATTAACGCTGGTGTAACCTCTCTTCATAATTATGTTTTTTTTTTTTCTTTTAAACAACGAACACTTGAAAGTGGTTATTTTTAAGTTCAAACCCTGAAAATTATAAAAAATTTAATAGTCAATTTTATTACAATGTAAATGAATATTTATTTTCTTTAACTAAAATAGAAAAAGTCTACTCACGTGTTTTAATTCCAGAACCTGTAGAATTCCTATAATCTACTACTCAAAATTAGTTTATTTTCAAGTGTAATTTCTGAAAATTATAAAAAATTTAGTAATTAGTTTAATATTGAAATATAAATTAATATTTATTTTCTTTAACTAAAATAAAAAAAGTTTACTTACATGCTTCAACAACTCCAAAACGTGTTTTATTCTAATGATGCTAGGGATTTATAAATAATAATAACCGGAGTAATAGTAACAATTGTACTTAAGTATAACACACTTTATGATCAATTTTAAAATTAAAAATATTTATAGATC